CCGGCCTGCCCTGCCTTCCCCCGAGCCGCCGAACCCGGCCGCTGTTACCTCAGCCAGGGAACGGGTTCGGTGCGGGGCGCTGGGGCTGGCGGCGCCTGCAGCCCGCGCTCGGTCACCGCCACCGCGACCCGCGCCTGCCGCTTTTAGCGCTGTTTTTATTGCGTTTTGGCCGCCTGCTCACGGTGAGGCGTCGCGGGGGCCCTGACCAAACGCCTGCCTCTGAAAAGAGCGAAAACTACCTATCGTCAGCGGCGGCAGACGTTCGGCCCGAGCAGGGAAGGAAGGAAGGCAGCAGCTTTGAGGGAGACAAAATGTTCAAATTATAAAGGTATTTACACAGCTGTGAGAAACCGCAAAGATGGAGAGAGGGACAGAAGGGAGGGAGAAGAGGGGACCGGGTGCCTGAAGGAGAGGTCAGAGCTGAGAAGGGTGATGGAGCGGGCACCTCGGAAGGGTTTGTCCCTGCTCTGAGGACGCTGAGGCAGAAAACAGTGCGAAAGTGCTGCTTGTTGTACGCAGTGGAGAATGGGTGAATCCTAAACCAGGGTCTCCCGCTAAAGGCAAGTCTTAGGAGGGAATAGCTAAGGTCAGAAGTGGAGGGAGGTCAGCGCCAAGGAGGCCTAGCAAAGAGAGGACGGATATTGCCTGAGGCCTGTCTGCTGACGGAGGTGGCCTGAGACTACGCAGCTCCCGTCTGAAGGCTGGAACGTGCAGGCCGGGAAGTGTTCAGCAGCATAAAACCACAGCTGTGCCGAGCCTTCCTACTGCTTTCAGTAGCCCATAGGCTCGGCAAAACCCATGGCAAAGCAGTCATCCAGCTGGAATTGCCATACACGTTGATGTAGCGCACTGGAAAATTTGTAGGTGAGGTGAAGATGAAGATAGTATCTGAAAATGATAGTGCTTAGGCATTAGGACACATGTAAAGCTGTCCTGCCCGCACTAGCAGCGTATCTGCTGTCTGTGAACATTTCTCGAACAAAGCAGGCTATCTCACTTTCAACAAGACAGCGAAGCAGCACGGTTTGGCACAGCTTCAGCATTCAAGCAAAAATTCAGCATCTCAGTGTAGGATCAGATTGATAAGAAGTTAACAAGGCCCCAGAGGTGTAAGTGGTATCCTCCAGATGCTGATTAAAACAAGGATGAGCTGCTGAAATTTGGACCAGCTTAGACTAGTCACCATGTACGTCTAGAGTCAAAAGAATTTCAGTATAAAAAGTAAAAAAAGGTTGATATTTGGTGTTATAATCACGGGAATAAGTAATGCTCAGAACAGTCTTTATGGTTTGGTATCATAGGATAACTAAAGCAATCTGAAAAGCAATACAGTTACTGCCGTAGATGACATAGCCAGGGAATATTTTCACTGCCCAGTGATAATTTTAACATTTTATTTATGTTTTACGTCTCAGAAGAATGGAATGATGCTACTATGCATTTCTATAGTGACTTATTTACAGTACCCCTGTTCCACTTCTAGCAAGTGTTTTCTTTTTCACATGGAAAAGATCCAGAGACAGGCAATGAACAAGATTGGATGAATGGAAAGGGTGGTGTACAGGAAGAGAATGAAAATTTTAATCTTGTTTTCAGCTAAGGTTAATAGGAGGGGAACAGACTTCTTTGAAACAGTAGGTCGGCTGGAGAATATATGCGGGACATTCAGATTTACTCCCACTGGCAAAGAATAATTACATTGAATGGCAATAATAAGTGATGCAAGGGAATACTTTCCTTACTGCAGCTAAGAAGTTAGCTTTCAAAGAGTTGTATATCACGTGCATAATGGGAATAGAAATATCATTTGCATTTCGGTATATTCTAATGGCGATATGTGTGTCGTTCTTCAGTGTAGCTGGGAGCCAGTAATTGCTTAGGGTTAGAAAAACCTGGTGCCCTGGTTGCCGGTTCATTCTCGTGGTGTGCATGAGAATACATCACTGTGATTCATTCACTGTTTCATGATCTAAGTCACATAATGCTGACGTTTATGGTGCACACAAACTCCCTCCTGAAACTCTTAATTGCGGAAACCATACGCGTATCAGGAATCCAAGTCCTTGAATGCCTTATCAGTATTTTTCTCATAGCTTCTCCCTGTTTTACTTGTATTTTCAACCCAATGGTATCTTAATTCAGTATTAAATCACATTTGGGAATACTTTTCTTTCCTTGAAATTTCCATGCGGAAGAGTTCCTATCTGTCTGTGGCCTTTGGCGTTTGTTCAGCAAGAGCCGTTTCCAAGAGCTTCTGCTCATTTCGCTTCTCTGTTTTCAACGCCGCACCAGAAAGGCGGGAGAGCACACCGCTATTTCTGCTACGTTTCGTGCATGTGTTCGTTTTTTTCGGCATCCTGTCTCTGGAAACTGCCGTGTTTCAAAGAGTAGGCCTGCAAGCACGCTAAGCGTTGCCTGATCTGCTTGAGTAAAACATGCTTTGAAGCATCTGGCGCTTGACATCCGTGAAGGCAAATAATGGAGCTGAAAGGCGGTCACAATCTGTTACAGCAGTCCCCGTGCCTCTCAGCCGGCGGGAAGGAAATGGCCAGAAGAGGATCGTTAGGCCAAGATGAAAGAGCCGCCAAGGCAAGCTGATTAAGAGCGCTAAACAGAACATCTCCCATGCAGTCTTCAGGTTTTTGAGTTAAAGATGTAATGCCTTTTTGGAGGTCAGTTTGTTATCCTGGGAGCTCGTCGTTCCGTGTTTATGGACAAAGCAGCTGCAACAGGCACAGGCAGAGGAGACGCGCGTTTTCTTTCCCCTGCCAGAGCTGGGGGAATTAGATGCTTTTTGCCTGGCACATTTCACATCTCTCTATGAATCTCGCGTGCCTGGTATCTTTTCTCACCTGCCTTTGAAAGATAACTTCCTACAGCAGATGGATCCCATCCTATCTCGTGCTTTCATGGTGGAAGATGTTTGTGCCGTCTACGACACAAGAATGTCTGACTCGCCACCAAAAACCGCATCTGCGTGCTGCCAGTATTTCTGAAGCAGTGAAATCACCTCACAAAGCGTGGTAAAGCGCTGAGAATTTTATTACAGTCGCTCACTCGTTCCACATCCTTATTCTTTAATGCCAAGTATTCTCTCTTTCTCTACAAACACAAAAGCGATAATGGGCTTTCTGGTAGCGTCGGTGGGTTTTTCACTCTTACTTTGTGTGAGCTGTTACCTGAAGGCGTTTGCCTGTACGGCACACGTGCAAGGCGGCTGTTCAGCCACCGATGGACGCGAAAACAAGCCGCGTTTGCTGTCCGCAGTTT